CACCTCCACCACTGCCACCACCACCACCACCATTACAACCACCACGCCATCACCATCACAATCACCACCATCACTCCGAAAGCATTCGCACTCAAACTGGCGCGGGCTGCCAGTGCTCAAGCCGCAACGGCACGTCGGCTCCGGCTACTCAGGGGGGGGCCAGGGCCAGGCTCTGCCAGCCCTGCGCCCCGGCGCGGAGCGCGAAGCCTTGCGAGCGCCGAAGCAAGCGCGGGGGGATGCTTCTGCTGGGCGCTACATGCAAAAAAACGTCTTGATCCACTCATCCTCGGGCGGGCCAGGCTCCGCCAACCGGCCCACGGAGTTCGAGGCCATTCGGAACCAGCACTCGCGGGGCCCGAAAGCGCCGTGCACGGCGACGGCGACATTCAAGGACCAGCCGCAAGATATGGACGCGGAGGCGCGGCGGATTCTACGCGAAGTTGCGAAAGGCAACGAGCTTCTGCCACGGCGCGTCTGCCACCAGACGGAGAAAAGCTCGGCGCGGCACGGCGGGGCGGGCGCAGCCGCGGCCGCTGTCTTGCCGCAGGCAGGGCAACCTGGATCTGCAGATGGCAGGTGGAGCGGCTGCTCCACGCTCTGCCAGCGCAGCCACCACGCCCGTTGACCGCGCGCCTACGGAGTTTGGGCCACGCCCTGACGCAGGGCCAGCGTTGCCGTGGGGTCCCGCGGGGTCCACGCCGACGGCGTCTCTGCCATCCCCCGCCGCGGGCGCCGCGCCGCCGTCGGCCCCCGGCGGAGTCGCCACGCGCCCCCGCAGACGCTGCCCCTGCAATCTCTGCAGCAGACGCGGGAACAGTCTCGGTGCACCTGACGATCTACCAGACCACCCCAACCCAACCCGAACACCCGAATTTCGGGTTGGGGGGGGTAAGGGTCCCACATGTGTTTTTTCGATGTTTCCCGACCCCCCCCCCACTGGAAATCGAGGGTAAATCTGAGCCTTCGGGTTGGGTTGGGGTGGTTTGTTTGGTGTGTGGTGAACATCCGCCGCCCTCTCTCGCGGCGGGCGCAGAGTCGTTCGCCGAAGAAGAGCAAAAGGTCGGCGAGCCGGCAGCGGAGGCCGCGCAGGGTGTGCCCACGCCCCGCCGCGGGGGCCTGCAGGAAGAGGGCGCAGGCGCGCCGGCCTCTGCCGGTGCGCCGACGGTCTGCGGTCCTCTGCCTGCTGATGCGTCTCCCGGTGAGGGCTCCGAGGAGCCACGCTGGGGTGGGCCCGACGACTAAAACGACGCGAAGATCGGGACAAAATCGGATCAGGATAACTCGAAATCTCCGAGAATCGGCGGGTTTGGAGCATGTATTGGGCGCCGCGGCCGCTCCAGAGCGTTCCGGAACGCTCTGAGAGCGCTCCGGAACGCTCTGGAGCGATTCATCCCGATCCTAGCCCTGTTTTGACGACGCAGCAGGGGAAGCTGCCGGCATCGAGAGCACCGCGGAGCTCGCCACGCCGCTGCAGGTGCCAGCCCCTGACAGCACTGCAGCGAGCATATGCGCGCGGCTGCCGATCGGGCCGCGGCGCGCGCGGGGGCGCTGCCGCCGCGCCTGCAACTGGCCGGGCAGGCTCGGCCGAGGCGCAGGCCACCACGGCGCGGGAAGTCGAGCATGCGCGCTATCGCGCTGTCGCGGAGCACCCGAAGGACGCGGAACCCCCGGCGGTTTTACAAGGCGCTGCAGGAGGAGGGAGACGAGGAGGAGGAGGAGGAGGAGGGGGAGAGGGAGGACGAGGAGTGGGAGGAGGACAGGGAGAAAGAGAAAGAGGATCATGACAATGATTGCGTACTTGGGATGGTGATGTCGGCGCTGTTGGTGGCGGTGCTGCCGGTGGTGGTGGCGGTGGTGGTGGTCTTTGTGGTGGCGGTGATGATGATGGCAATGATGGTGGTGCTGATGCTGGTGGTGATGCCGGCGGCGGTGGTGGCGGTGCTGATGGTAGTGGTTCTTGCGTTGGTGGTGGTGGTGGTTTTGCTGGCGGTGGTGGTGGTGATGCGTGGTGGTGGCGGTGCTGCTGCTGCTGGTGGTGGTTGTGCTGCTGGCGGTGGTAGGGGTTGCGCCGGCGGTGGCGGCGCTGGTGGTGGCGGCGATGGTGGTGGTGGCGGCGATGCTGGTGCTGCTGGTCGCGCTGATGATGGTAGTGGCGGTGGTGGTGGTGGCGGTGCTGTCGGTGGTGGCGGTGGTGTTGGTGGTGGCGCTGCTGGTCATGGTGGTCATGCTCTGGTGGCGCTGGCGGCGCCGTTGGCGATGCTGCTGGCGGTTGTACTTTCGTTGGTTCAGGAGGGGGGGGGAGGGGGTCCAGGAGGAGGGAGGGGGGCGGGGAGGCAGGAGGAGGCGCGGTAGGAGGAGCAACACGGCGAGGACGGAGACCCACAGGAGGAGCCGGAAGGAGCAGGAGGGGGGAGGACGAGGACGGGGAGCTCTCGCGAGGCCTGCGGTCCGCAGCGCGCGCCGAGCTCTCTGGGTTCGAAGGCGGCCAGAACCTGTCCGAGTTGCCGTGGCCGCCAGGCTCTGCCAGCGGCGGCTCGCAGGAGTTCCTGCGCGCCGCACACAAGCGGTGCCTGTTGGTCACGCATCTCCAGGCGGGGCAAGTGCACTCTGTGGACCTCAGGGCGGCGCTCTCCAAGTTGCTCGAGGACCTTCCAGCGAGCTGCGGGCGTAAGTTCGGCGACGACCACCTCAAGTCCGCGGACGGCTGGTCAACGAGCATCCGGGCGAGCTCGTCGAGCTCGATCGCAAGCGCTCGGACTGGGAGCTGCGCGCTGTGGCGCGAGGCTCTGCCAGCGCTGCACTCCTCGCGGGTGCGCGCACCGTGGTTTTGCCGTGACGGTGGCAAACCAGCGGAGAGCGTGGACGTCGAAGTCGGCTACCACGGCGGCGTGCAAGACGTCGTGATCCAAATGAAGTCTCAGATGTGGCTCGTCAGCATGGCATCCGTCGCCACGATATCCGGCCTAACTGGGGTGCTCAGGTCACCCGTGTGCGCGTCCATTGCCGTGGGACCGAGGCATGCGAGTGGCACCGCACCGGAGAGGTGGTCAGTCTGGGGGAGCTGATGCGGGTTCTTGGAAAATACCTCACGGCAACGCAAGTGTATTATTCTAACCGCACAATCCGCATCGTGGCCTTGAAGCGGCAGAAGAGCTCAAAGTCGCCAGGGTCTGGCAGCGCCGCCGTCGGTATGTCAGTGGACGGTCTCCAGGCGTCGCAGTTGCGGGCACGCGCCGGCATGAAGAGTAAGCAGCTCATGAAGGAGCACGCGGCCGTCGTGGGCGTTGAAGTTCAGCAACCGACGGCTTTCCTCGACGAGGCAGTCAGGTGCGTCTATGCGCACGCTCGGCGGGACATGAGCCCGCCGTGGCTGCAGCACTCTTTTCCCCTGGCTCTGCCAGGGAATGGAGTGTTGCCGAAGTACGCGAGGCCATGCTTCTTGACGTGGGACGCCGACCTCGCGCGCCGTGTTCGGCACAGCAGTGGCGAATGAGCTTGCTTGCATCACGGACAGCGTGGGCCTTCTGCTCGGTGGTGTCGTCGCGCGGCCAGTGTACTCGTGAACGGGCGCTGTGAAGGGGCCCCAGGACACACAAATAAATACACACAAATAAAAGGATTCCGCATATTCTCCCATATTTTCTGGGTTTTTGTCTTCCCCCCCCCCACTTCCCGTATTTTCCCATACTTTCCTGGGAGTCGACGATGAATTGTGTCTGTGTGCTTTTTCCCCTCCTGACGCTGTCCAGGATGGCATGTGCATGGTCATGGCCTCCGTGTCACGGATCCTCCAGGCAGGGCCGGGCCGCGGAGAGCAGCTGTGCCGCCAGCAAGCAGCGGCGGAGCGGGGGCACGCCGGTCTCCGACGGCGTGCCCCTGCGGGCTCTGCTTCTGCACGGGCTCGCCACACGGGAGGACGGCGAAGACTCTGCTGTGCGGATGAGGCCTGTGCGGCCGGCCATGGGGGCGCCGCCGGACAGGTGGGGCTGGGGCGCTCCCGAGGGCGGCCAGCCCGAGCCTCAGGAAGCGCTCCCGGAATGGCAGCAGCTGAAACGCGGAAGCCACTCGCGCTACACCACAGTCGCGACAGTGACCGGATATGGTACCACGCAGCGCTGTTTCGCGGCACGCCGGCGGAGCAGGTGTTAGCACCAGGGTTGCGCCAGGCTCTGCCAGACCTACTCAGTACTACGGGGGTTGGTTTGCGTGGAAAGCATTCAGGATACGGTAAGGGGAAAGGGGAAGGCGGCGTTCGCGCGCCCTTGGCCGCCCGCCTGCTGGGCCAAAGCGCCTGGCAGTCAGTTGGGCTAGTGCTCTTTTGCTCGAGCCGCGCCTGTCCCATCGCCACCGTCGCCTCGAACCACCATCACCACTCACCATCACCACCACCACCATCGTCACCACCACCACAAGTAGTAGAAAGATTGGCATAATCTGGAAGAGCGGCGGGCAGATAGTAGCCAGTATAGATGATAGATGTACCTATATATATACACATATATATATACATGTATCTGTATCAGATATGGCTAGATAACACATGTATAGTAAACAAAGCTGGTTGAACAGAAGATCGCTAGACTGGTTGCAAGATAGCACATAAATGATGGATTGTAGATGAATGAAGCGGTAAATAGATAGATAGACGGATTTAGATAGTGGATAGCAAGTGGGTAATGCATGGTGATTGGTAGGTGGTTACTCGATAGTGCAGATCGAACGGTACAGTGCTGGTGGGAGATAGCTAGCTATAGTGGCAAAAGCTAAATAGAGAATTATATAGATAGGTCGATGGATAGATGGGCAGATGTGCGAGACAGTAGGCAAGTTGAAGAAACCACCACAGAACCCAGAGCCATCGCAAGTCGACCGCCTCCCCCTCCCCCCCCCAACCTCCTCATCACCCGTAGGGTGGTCCTATCGGTATTACCAGAGAACCTCCCTTTCTTCCTCCTCACATCCTGCAGAAACGTTGGGGCACTTTCGGCAACATCAGAACTCTACCGAATAGAAACGGCCAGGCAATCTCGGAAGACCTCGCCGCCCCACCCCCACCCCCCGTCCCCGCCGACGAGGTTGGTGCGCAGCTTGCAGTTGCTCAGGTTCCACACCTGAGGGGAGCCGGCGCCAGGCTTAGGTCGGGCATGTCCCCCTACAGGCGGATGTTGGACGAAAAACGAGAAATTGTCAAACCATGCCCCAAGATTATCAAAAATAATCGGAAAAAATTCGTCCCACGATTATTTTGTTTACCTATGTTTGAGTATTCCCCCTGTAGAGGACATGCCCGATGTAACGCCAGGTGGCCGTCGCAGCATCCTCGTCGTCGCCGTGGCGCGCCGAGCGTCGCGCGCGTCGCGTGCCACGCGTGACACGCGTCGCGCGTCGCGCGCCGCGCGTCCTCGTCGTCCTCGTCCTTCCCCGTCCTTCCTCATACCCGTCCGCGCACCCCTCCTCCTCCTCCTCCCCCTCCTCCTCCTCCTCCTCCTCCTCCTCCTCCTCCTCGTCCTCCTCCTCCTCCTCGTCCTCCTCCTCCTCCTCCGCCCCCCCTCCTCCCCCTCCTCCCCCTCCTCCCCTCCTCCTCCTCCTCATCCTCCTCCTCCTCCTTCTCCTCCTCCTCCGCCTCCGCCTCCTCCGCCTCCCCCTCCTCCTATTTGTCCTCCTCCTTCTCCTTACCCTCCTTCTTCCCCCGGGGGGGAGACGAGAGCCAGGCCGACCGCCACCAACGACCCAGCATTGCCCCGTCCCAGAATCGAACAGGGTCGCGATCGGCCGATGATCGCGCAACCGTCGAAGTGGGAAGACACTCTGCTGCCGTTTGCGTCAGCGTCGGGGCGTGGCTCCTCAGGACAACGACAGGGGCGGCGAGGGAGAGGAAGGTGACGACGACGACGACGACGACGACGACGACGACGACGACGACGAGCGGGCACAGGAAGGGGAACAAGATGAGGTCCACATCTCAGCTGTTCCAGCGAGCTCCACGACGAGGGTGCTCAGGAAAAGTATGGGATGATTTGCGCACATCCTGCCCAGGGCTGCCTGATGCAACACCCATCTCCCCCCTCGCCCCACGCGGACCTTCACAAGCTTGTCCCAGCCGGCGGACACGATGAGCGGCATCTTGGCCGACGGGGAGAACACCACGCAGCTGACCCAGTCCGTGTGGATGTCCTCGCCGCCGCGGCCAGCGGGCGAAGACGACGGAACGAGTCGGGAGTGTCCAAGGGAGAAGCGTCCGAGAGGGGTGCAAGGGGCCTAGGGAGGCAAAAGTATATAATCTACACATCAATGTGTTCCTCGTCTTCTCCTCCTCCATTCCATCTACGATCCCATCGTTTCATTGAAGTCATGCGTGCTTCTGCAGATGTTTGCCCTTATGAGTCATCACCGCCGTGGCCAGCGGGGCGGGGTCCAGGGGGCGTCCATGGAGAGTCGAGGGGCGGGGGCACGCCCAAGTGGACAGACAGACAGACAAGAGCCGCGCCAAGGCGGCGCAGTGGCGCAGTGGCAAGAAAACAACGACTGGTGACGGCGCTGGCAGGCAAATGCAAAGAGAACTGAAGAATGTATTGCGCTGCAGGCGGCTCGGTTGCAGACCATTGGCAGACTTTGCACCGAATGGGAGGGGTCCAAGAGGGGGGCTAGCAAACCATGGCCCGAGGCCGGCGCGCGGCCGATGGGAGAGCCTGGGGGGCGCGCTCGTGGACATGTCGTGGGGGCCCCCCGGTCACTGAGTTGGCGCTGAGCTGCACACTGTCAAGGCCTCCACTGTCCAGTGGCGCTGCGGTGCTCTTGCTGGCGAGGGCATCCGACACGTGCGCGGAGCCACACTGTGGATGCCACGCTGTCCTGTGGCTTTGCTGTGCTCCTGCTCTGGGCGCCAAAACGGCTCCAGGTCGCCACGGAGCCTCTCCAGGATGCACCCGAGGATTCAAAATCGTCACAGAAGACATGGTTTTCAATGTTGGTTGCCTTCCCACACTTTGGCTTGCGATGGGCTTCTGAAGCCTCCAGATGGATGGCCCCACGATTCCTCAAGAGGGCCCCGAGAAGGCCCAGGAGAGGTCCAGGGGAGCTTGCCATCGCTCGGACGTCGTCCACTCCGCGAGCATGTTTGCAGGATGATCCAAGATGCTCCTCGATAGCACTCGCAGGGAGAAAATGCACACGTCCGAGCGATGTCAAGAGAGCCCCAAGAGCACCACAACGGATCCCCGAGAGCGCTCCAAGCGGTGGTCTTTCGGGCTCCAAGGGGGCGACCCTAGTTGAGACCACCCAACATAGCCCCAAAGGCTCCAACAGCGAAGGGCTCGGAGAGAGCCCTAACAGACTTCCACAGGCTTCAAATGAATTCTTCAAAAGACCCATGGACGAATTAACGATGGGTGTTCAAGGCCGCTGAGTGCGTGCCAGGTTTGCCTTCAGGGAAAATGCTCGAAAGACTGGGCATCAAAGCTGACCTACGGGGCACCCCTGAGTTTCACATGTTCACGCTTGCGCTCCTCCTCCTCCTCCTCCTTTTCCTTGCTCCTCCTCCTCCTCCTCATCATCGTCAGCATCCTCATCCTCGTTATCATCCTCATCCTCATCATCATCATCATCATCATCATCATCATCATCATCATCATCATCATCATCATCATCATCATCATCATCATCATCATCATCGTCATCATCATCAGCATCATCATCATCAGCATCATCATCGTCCTTTTCCTTCCTCCTCCTCCTCCTCTTCAGAATCCTCTTCATGATCCTCCTCCTCCTCCTCCTCCTGGTGCTCCTCCGCCCCGTCCTCCGCCTCCTCCTCCTCCATTTCCTTGCTCCTCCTCCTCCTCCTCGTCCTCCTCCTCCTGGTCCTCCTCCTCCTCCTCCGCCTCGTCCTCTTCAGAATCCTCCTCCTACTCATCCTCCTCTTGCTCCTCCTCCTCCCTTTCCTCCTCCTCCTCCATTCCCCTTCCTAATAAATAACTTCTCCCTGTCGCACCCCGAGGCCGGTCGAAAGGGCGGGCTGGGCGTTTCGCCTAAGACATCCTCACCATTTAGGAACCTGAAGCTTAACAAGTGGCAACCGTTTCACAGATGGAGGGCGGGTCGTTTTCAAAATGTGGCTCTCGCCTGAGCGCCGCGCACAGTCGTCTTAAACATTGCAAGAGCTTCACGGATTGAGGGCGGGCCCGTTTCAAAATTTGGTTCTTACTTTAGCGCCGCGCACATTCGATTTAAACAGTCGCAATAGTTTCTCGGATTGATGGCGGGCCGGTTTCAAAATGTGGTTCCCGCCTTAGCGCCGCGTGCACTCGTTTTAAAAGTTCGCAGCTTCACGGATTGAGGGCGGGCCGTTTTCAAAATGCTGCTCTCGCTCTAGCGCCGCGCACATTCCTTTTGTAAAGTTTGCAAGAGCACACGGATTGAGGGCGGTTCCTTTCAAAACTGTGGCCCTCGCTAAAGCGCCGCACAGATTTCTTCTAAAAATGCAGAAGAGGTTCACGGGTTCCCATGGTCAACGTACCAGAAATGGTGTTTTGGAAAGATTCAGGATTATGAGAGCGCAAAAATTTAATTGAATCGCGGCATTGAAGTCCGAAGAATGGCCCTCTGGCACGATTCAGAATCGTCAAGACGCAATGGTCAGGTTGATCCGTGGCGTTGGAGTCCCGAGAATCATGTTCTGGCACGCTTCAGGCTCTTCAAACGGTTGTCGTCCAACGAGGCAGTTCCCTCAGTGGACATGAACCGTTGTATGGGCCTATGAAGAGGGAGCTTGAAGGAAGGTATAATTCCAACATCGTTGTTACCTCTTGGGTTTACACTGGTCCTCCTGCTCCTCCTCCTCCGCCTCCTCCTCCTCCCTTTCCTCCTCCTCCTCCTCCCTTTCTCCTCCTCCTCCTCCTCCTCGTCATCATCAGACTCCTCCTCCTCCTACTCCTCCTCCTACTCCTCCTCCTACTCCTCCTCCTACTCCTCCTCCTACTCCTCCTCCTACTCCTCCTCCCGTCCTCTTCCTCCTCCTCCTCCTCCTCCTCCTCCTATGCCCCCGTCCTCTTCAGAATCCTCCTCCTCCTGCTCCTGCTGCGGTTCCTCCTCCTCCTCCTCCTTCTCCTCCTCCCTGTCCTCCTTCTCCTCCTCTTCCTCCTCCTCCTCCTGGTCCTATTCCTGTTCACGCTTATCCTCCACATTCCCCGCCCCATTGCCCATCTCCCTCCTCCCCCCCTCCTCCTCCTCCTCCTCCTCCTCCTCCTCCTTCTCCTCCTTCTCCTCCTCATCCTCATCCTCTTCCTCTTGTTCTTCTCCTAATTACGACTGTGACCATTAATCGCGTTCGCACTACAACTCGAACTATAAAAGGGCATTCCCAGGCGTAGTCTTAGCAATCAACGTGTCAGTAATAGTAGCATGAATATCCTTAGTAATCTGAGTGTGAGTATTACGAATAATCGTATTGGCATGAGTAGCACTAGTATCCGCAATGTCATCCGCGGTGTAACTGTTAGTCATAGGTTCACTCTTCGTATTGTTGGCGTTAGTAAGTGTCCTACAGATTGTCAGCAGTGGTACTATTATCAATAGTACCAATAGTAGTAGTTCCCCACATCCTGAGTGGGGTTCTTGTTTTCCCAGAACACCCTCTCCTTCCCACCAACCTCCCGCTCCATCTTCCATACAGCACAATATTATTCCTACCACACACACCATACCATACCATAGTTCCTACCACACATACCATACCATACCATACCATACCATACCACACCATACGTACCATACCATAGTTCCTACCACACATACCATACCATACCATACCACCATACCACACCATACGTACCATACCGTACCATACCATACCATGGCGTACCATAGCATACCATACCATATCACACCAATGCCACACCGTACCATACCATACCATACCTCCAGTACCATACCATACCATATCATACCATACCGTACCATACCATACCTACCATACCATTCCATACCTCCAGTACCATACCGTACCCCTCCAGGGAGGCCCCGCCTGAGCGAGGAGGGTATCGGAATACCATACTATTTACATGGTTTCGTGCCCCTCCCACCCCTCCAGGGAGGCCCCGCCTGAGCGAGGAGGGTATCGGAATACCATACTATTTACATGGTTTCGTGCCCCTCCCACCCCTCCAGGGAGGCCCCGCCTGAGCGAGGAGGGTATCGGAATACCATACTATTTACATGGTTTCGTGCCCCTCCCACCCCTCCAGGGAGGCCCCGCCTGAGCGAGGAGGGTATCGGAATACCATACTATTTACATGGTTTCGTGCCCCTCCCACCCCTCCAGGGAGGCCCCGCCTGAGCGAGGAGGGTATCGGAATACCATACTATTTACATGGTTTCGTGCCCCTCCCACCCCTCCAGGGAGGCCCCGCCTGAGCGAGGAGGGTATCGGAATACCATACTATTTACATGGTTTCGTGCCCCTCCCACCCCTCCAGGGAGGCCCCGCCTGAGCGAGGAGGGTATCGGAATACCATACTATTTACATGGTTTCGTGCCCCTCCCACCCCTCCAGGGAGGCCCCGCCTGAGCGAGGAGGGTATCGGAATACCATACTATTTACATGGTTTCGTGCCCCTCCCACCCCTCCAGGGAGGCCCCGCCTGAGCGAGGAGGGTATCGGAATACCATACTATTTACATGGTTTCGTGCCCCTCCCACCCCTCCAGGGAGGCCCCGCCTGAGCGAGGAGGGTATCGGAATACCATACTATTTACATGGTTTCGTGCCCCTCCCACCCCTCCAGGGAGGCCCCGCCTGAGCGAGGAGGGTATCGGAATACCATACTATTTACATGGTTTCGTGCCCCTCCCACCCCTCCAGGGAGGCCCCGCCTGAGCGAGGAGGGTATCGGAATACCATACTATTTACATGGTTTCGTGCCCCTCCCACCCCTCCAGGGAGGCCCCGCCTGAGCGAGGAGGGTATCGGAATACCATACTATTTACATGGTTTCGTGCCCCTCCCACCCCTCCAGGGAGGCCCCGCCTGAGCGAGGAGGGTATCGGAATACCATACTATTTACATGGTTTCGTGCCCCTCCCACCCCTCCAGGGAGGCCCCGCCTGAGCGAGGAGGGTATCGGAATACCATACTATTTACATGGTTTCGTGCCCCTCCCACCCCTCCAGGGAGGCCCCGCCTGAGCGAGGAGGGTATCGGAATACCATACTATTTACATGGTTTCGTGCCCCTCCCACCCCTCCAGGGAGGCCCCGCCTGAGCGAGGAGGGTATCGGAATACCATACTATGTACATGGTTTCGTGCCCCTCCCACCCCTCCAGGGAGGCCCCGCCTGAGCGAGGAGGGTATCGGAATACCATACTATTTACATGGTTTCGTGCACCTCCCACCCCTCCAGGGAGGCCCCGCCTGAGCGAGGAGGGTATCAAGAAAATGGGTCCCACGAAACCGTTAATCTCTTTATGTGGGGAACTCCGTTAGCATAATTTCAGGATGCGTGTTCGTATGCGTTCGTCTTTTCATGAATCGTAATATTAGGATGGTTGTTTGCCTCAGTAATCTCAACAGTAATAATATTAGTACACGTCTTAATTGTATGTGCATGCTTCGTGATACGATGATGCATATCGATCGCAATAGTATTAATAATGTTAGTGGTATGCGTACTATTGCAAATATGAGTACGTTTGGTACCACGGTTGTATGCTTTGATGTTTGATTGGTATGAAAACGGTTGGCCGTTGTATCAATATTATGATTGATATGTACTGCCTCGTCTTAAAAATCTCGTTCGCACTAGAAGTTGTATTATTATACGTATTATGGTTAGTCTTCTTATGGTCATGGTGAGTGCTGATGTCCATCGTAGTCTTAATCATGTTGGTGTGATTATGCGTGTTATTCCCCACATCCTGAGTGGGGTTCTTGTTTTCCCAGAACACCCTCTCCTTCCCACCCACCTCCCGCTCCATCTTCCATACAGCACAATATTATTCCTACCACACACACCATACCATATCATAGTTCCTACCACACATACCATACCATACCATACCATACCATACCATACCATACCACACCATACGTACCATACCGTAGCATACCATACCATGGCGTACCATAGCATACCATAACATATCACACCAATGCCACACCGTACCATACCATACCATACCTCCAGTACCATACCATACCATACTATTTACATGGTTTCGTGCCCCTCCCACCCCTCCAGGGAGGCCCCGCCTGAGCGAGGAGGGTATCGGAATACCATACTATTTACATGGTTTCGTGCCCCTCCCACCCCTCCAGGGAGGCCCCGCCTGAGCGAGGAGGGTATCGGAATACCATACTATTTACATGGTTTCGTGCCCCTCCCACCCCTCCAGGGAGGCCCCGCCTGAGCGAGGAGGGTATCGGAATACCATACTATTTACATGGTTTCGTGCCCCTCCCACCCCTCCAGGGAGGCCCCGCCTGAGCGAGGAGGGTATCGGAATACCATACTATTTACATGGTTTCGTGCCCCTCCCACCCCTCCAGGGAGGCCCCGCCTGAGCGAGGAGGGTATCGGAATACCATACTATTTACATGGTTTCGTGCCCCTCCCACCCCTCCAGGGAGGCCCCGCCTGAGCGAGGAGGGTATCGGAATACCATACTATTTACATGGTTTCGTGCCCCTCCCACCCCTCCAGGGAGGCCCCGCCTGAGCGAGGAGGGTATCGGAATACCATACTATTTACATGGTTTCGTGCCCCTCCCACCCCTCCAGGGAGGCCCCGCCTGAGCGAGGAGGGTATCGGAATACCATACTATTTACATGGTTTCGTGCCCCTCCCACCCCTCCAGGGAGGCCCCGCCTGAGCGAGGAGGGTATCGGAATACCATACTATTTACATGGTTTCGTGCCCCTCCCACCCCTCCAGGGAGGCCCCGCCTGAGCGAGGAGGGTATCGGAATACCATACTATTTACATGGTTTCGTGCCCCTCCCACCCCTCCAGGGAGGCCCCGCCTGAGCGAGGAGGGTATCGGAATACCATACTATTTACATGGTTTCGTGCCCCTCCCACCCCTCCAGGGAGGCCCCGCCTGAGCGAGGAGGGTATCGGAATACCATACTATTTACATGGTTTCGTGCCCCTCCCACCCCTCCAGGGAGGCCCCGCCTGAGCGAGGAGGGTATCGGAATACCATACTATTTACATGGTTTCGTGCCCCTCCCACCCCTCCAGGGAGGCCCCGCCTGAGCGAGGAGGGTATCAGAATACCATACTATTGCATGGTTTCGTGCCCCTCCCACCCCTCCAGGGAGGCCCCGCCTGAGCGAGGAGGGTATCGGAATACCATACTATCTACATGGTTTCGTGCCCCTCCCACCCCTCCAGGGAGGCCCCGCCTGAGCGAGGAGGGTATCGAAAACCATACTATTTACATGGTTTCGTGCCCCTCCCACCCCTCCAGGGAGGCCCCGCCTGAGCGAGGAGGGTATCCGCAAACCATACTATTTACATGGTTTCGTGCCCCTCCCAAGCGGGGCCCCGCCAAAGCGAGGAGGGCATCAAGAAAATGGGTCCCACGAAACCGTTAATCTCTTTATGTGGGGAACTCCGTTAGCATAATATGTTGTACTGTTTTTTACATGGTCATTCGAATAATTATTCGCGCTCGTATCAAAAGTACCATCATGATTATCATTGCTCGCGTTCGCATGATTGTTATGACTCGTCTTAGTACTGCTTTTAGGCGCATGATTATTATTTGTATTAGGACTACGGTTCGAGCTTGTACCAGTCTTCGCTTTCTTCTTGTTGATATTTTTATGGGTCGTATTACCCGTATTCTCTGCGTAGTATCATTCGCCGTCTTCTGATTCGCATTCTTAGTATTATTGTTAGTATTCCGATTCGCCTGAGGATTAGCATTACTCCATCCTCCTCATCCTCCTCCTCCTCCTCATCATCATCATTCTCCTCGCCAGGTCTCGAGAGTCGCGTCCTTGGCAACTGGCGGCACCCCACCCCCACAGGCAGCCACGGGACGCCGGGAAGGACTGCGCGGCCTCCACCCTCCGCCCACACTCGTCACCTCCACCCAACCACGCCCCAACCAATTCCCCTCCACCCGACCACGCCCCCACTCCCCCATCCCTCTCCACCTCCTGCACTTCCCACCTCTTGGCCCCTCCCCATCCTCATCCTCCTCCTACTCCACTTCCTCATCCTCATCAGTATCATCATCATCATCATCATCATCATCATCATCAGCAGCAGCAGGAGCAGCAGCAGCAGCAGCATCAGCATCAGCACCAGCACCAGCACCAGCATCATCATCATCATCAGCAGCATCAGCATCATCATCATCATCATCATCATCACCACCACCACCACCACCACCACCACCACCACCATCATCATCATCATCATCATCATCATCATCATCATCATCATCATCATCATTATCCACCCCCTCCTCCTCCTCCGCCTCCTCCTCCTCGCTTCTCCACCCGTGCCTCAGACCCCTCCTCCTGCTCCCTTCTCCTGCTCCCCCCCCTGCACACCTCCCCTCCTCCTCCTCCTCCTCCTCCTCCTCCTCCTCCTCCTCCTGAACTGTACTGTACTCGATGGAAGCGGCCGTCTGACCCAGCCGCCCCAAACAACAGCAATGTGTGACTGTTGAGCGGGCAACTCGAGGCCAAAACGTGAGAGGAGCTGGACAGGGTTCCACTACTCCTCCCACAAGCCTTCAACAAAATCGTCAGCGCTGTCCTGGTCATCAGCTCTCCTGGACTCTGGACCCACTTGTGAGATGACCTGATCAAAACCAGCAAATCAGAAGGGGTCGGAGATCCGTGCCCAGAAACGGTCCAGTCAGAGTACCGTTTAGACCCGGACCGGAACAGGCCCTTCAAAAACCTAGACCTTTGTTGCTTAAGGTCCTTGGCCTCAGGGTTGCCCTGGCACACGCCCGCAAGAGGCAAAACTCCAGACCAGGCACAGCCTCCGCACTTGAGGCAGCAGTGTAGGGGCCCAAGGACACACAAACAAACTACACAGAAATAAAAAGATTCCCCATATGTTTCCGTATTTTTTCAGGGTTTTTGTCTTCCCCACCACTTCCCATATTTTCCAAAATTTTCTGTGGAGTCGACGATTAATTGTGTCTGTGTGCTCCTTTCCCTCCTGAAGCAAGTCACCCACCCGCTCCCACCAGCCCTCCCGCCGTCCCTCACGAAAGCCTTCGCTCTGCAGAGGTTGTGGCCCTGCAGCCGAGCCAGGAGGGCGGCCTCCCACAAAACTTCAGCTGGCACGTCTGCCGCCGTATCGGAAACAGTGGGAACCTTGAAGCCGATGCACGGGGCCCATTGGCGACGGCCCTCGCGATGACTCTTTCTCTGGAGGGCAGCTAGGAACGCAACGCTGGGCTGTCGTCCGCTCGGTCCCGCCCCTGCCAGCCGCTGTCGAGAGGGGGCTCCGGCGGGGAGCACGCCGCACCCCAGCCCACGGGCTTTCCTCGGAGATGGTGTACTTGCACTCCGCCAGGGTGTTCCAGAGCTTGATCGTTCGGTCGCGGCTGCCTCGTTGGGCGCGGCATCCGAACCCTAGCCTTATGTTGCTCCCATCGCACTTCAGGACCACATCCCAGAAATAATTTCGAGCACCCGGAAAAGTGTCGATAGAGTGCGAGTGTCTCCCTAGGCCCGACACGTGAAAACCCTCGAGTTTCGGTATATGTTTCTGGTGCTCGAAATTCTTTCTAGTGGTCAAGGCTAAAGTAGGTTGGAACATCATAACCCCTAGCCACACCAACCATCCATTCTCCTGAATCGATGGAAGACGGGGGCAGGGGGAGGAGTCGCATTGAGCCACGCGTTCGACGAATTCCGAACCCTGCTCCCGCCGCCCATCTAGATGGCTGGATCGTTAGAAAGGTAGGGTTCGGACTGCGCCGCCGGCGCGCCGCAAGACGAGGGCAGGACAGGGAAAAATTCGGATCTGGCGGCTCTGGCAGGAGAGCCCAGAATCGAATCGATAAGTAGGATCAGCAGAAATCGGCAGCCAAGTCGGGAAAAGACGGATCAGCGGACATCGGCAAGCTAGTATGCCTGCAATGGGACATCGGAACCCAAATCGGAACGCAAGTCGAATCGAAGTCGAATCGAATCGAAACGGAAACGAAATCGAAGTCGAAACGAAATCGAAGTCGAATCGAAACGAAATCGAAATCGAAATCGGAATCAGAAGCCATCGAAGTCGAATCGCATCGAATCGAAGGAATCGAAACGAGCCCTGCTCTGGAGGAAACAAAAACAAAACAACAACAAAAACTTGGCGCCGCGGCCGTGGCAGAGCGCCCCAGAGACGCTCGGAGAGCGTTCGGGAGCGCTCTGGAGCACGCTGTCCTGGGCCTGGGCCCGCGCCCGATGCCGACTGCCGAGGCAAAGACGGCGACAACGACGGCGACGGCGACGGCGACGGCGACGGCACCCGCAACGGCGACGACGACGACGAATCTCGTCGCCACGGCCGGGCGCGGCTCCGAAGACTGACCAGGATGGGCACTGGGGAGGGGGGTCTGGTGACCAGTCTGGGGCGCACTTGTCGGGGAATGCGGCAGGGAAGGAGCGAGGGAGGAGGAAGCGGAGGAGCAGGACGAGGGAGAAGCAGGAGAAGGACCAGAAGGAGCCCACAGTGTATCCACAAGGCTGCAGTGCATCCCGAGACCCCTCCTCATCATGACCTGGGGGATGAGGCCCTGGGGAAGCGGAGCGCCCCACGGCCCCGCCATTCGGCCGAGAACAAGTGTTTCGAGAAGGAACCGCCTTCCACTGTTCCGCATGGAAGAAGAAGTTCAAAGAGGTGCGATCATGAAGGTTTCGGCGCGTTCGGCAAGTACGCGACCATTGCTCTGAAACAGCAGGGTGCAAATGGCATTGATTTGGGCTGCGCGACAGACCCCTGACAAGAGCCCTCACGGTGGCGCTGCGGCCGACGGTATCTGGCTCAACCCTGGCACGCCATCACTCCAAACATGACGTAAATGCCCGCTGCCACTCCCCACGGCGACCGCACCCCGTGATGGCACCAGTAATAAAGCTGTGGAAATACTTCCAGGTTGTGGCGCTGTACCATCATGAACAATGCCAGCGCCAACTGCCACTGCCCACGTCTTCCATACGGCCGCGCTCCCAGCGGCTTCGGCTGAACGCATGGGGCCTCACCCCGGCCCCTCACCTTCCGCTGAGCAGCGATGGAGCCGCCTGCAATCGCACGCCTGTCGCGCGCGCGCTGATCGCAGAGCTCCAGCTGATGACGTGTGGCTCCAGCCTCAGCGCCCCCACCCCGCTGAGCAGCGATGGAAGCCCGCTGCCACGAATAGCATCTCTCGCACGCGCTGCGAAGGATTCGGCTCCACCTTCGACCCCCACATCCTGCTGGGCAGCGACAGAGCCCGCTGCCACTGCCCACCCTTCTCGCACGCGCGAAGCTCGGAGCTGTAGCTGATGACATCTGGCTCCAACTTCGCCTCGCACATCCCGATGAGCTGCGACAGAGTCCGCTGCCACTGACCACCTTTTTCGTACGCGCTGATCCCAGCATTGTAAATGACGAATGTGTGTAACCGTCACCGTGGAGCAAATCCGCAGGTGCCTGGGCATAGGAACACGGCGGGGCTGTCTCTGGGCCATCTTGGGTCGTCTTGGGCGCCTCTTGTTTGGACGCCCGAAATGGGTACGGAAAAAATGGGTACAATGCCCAACAACAAATGTTGTCCCAAACCAACAGCGGCCGCTGTTGGGCAGGCGGCCTTCTGTCTCGAATGGACACAGGCCGCGGCGGCGCGGACAGCGAATCCTGTTCAAGAAGAACAGGAACTGCTGTTGGGCATTGTACCCATTCTTTCCGTACCCATTTCGGGCGTCCAGATCTTGGGCCGTCTTGGGGCTTTCCCAGAGCTATCTTGCAGCTCTCTCGGGCCGTCTTGCAGCCTCGCGGGAGGTTCTGGAAGCACCCGGAGGACCTCGAAGATTGCCTCGAGAGGAGCTCAAGAGGGCCTGAAGACGGCCCCAAGAGGGCCCCCAGAGAGCACCCGACGGATGCTACGAACAGTGGGGTGCGTGGTAGCATCCGTTGGGCATCCTCTGCGGGCTCTGATGTGTGGTCCTCTTGGCGCCCTCCGCGAACCCTCTGGAAGCTCTGAGGGTCCCTCTCGGGGCCCTCGCGGGCGCCCGTGGAGGCCTCTTGGGACTTCTCCTGGGGCACGCCGAAGAGGTGGAAATAGCCCCGGAAGAGGCAAAAGCCAGACAGATCTGTGATCTCTGCCGTTGTGGGTCCTCGTTGAGGCTACTAAGGGCCCTCTGGGGCCCTCTTGGAGGCCCTTCGGGGCAGGTCTCTGGGCCATCTTGGGTCGTCCTGGGCGCCTCCTGGGCCGTCTTGGGGCTCTCTGGGGCCGTCTTTGGCGGTCTAGGGGCTGTCTGGAGCCGCGTGGGGATCCTCGTCGGAGACCTCTTGGCCTGGCATGGGGCGATCTTGGGAGCTGTTGGGCACTCGTGGGCGCTGCAGGGGCCCAGAAGTCGGGCATGCTCGAACTGCTTGAAATCCATGCAGACAGCACAGTCCTGTTGCAACAGAGGGCCCCGCTGGGCGTCCTCTTGGAGCGCTGCGGGAGCGTTTCGCAGGGTGTTGCGGTCGTCCGGAGGCCGTCTTGGGCTGCCTTGGGCCCTCTGAAGCCGCCTGGACGCCATCTTGGGCCATCCCTAGGGGAACAAAAAGTGGCAAAAGCATAAAAACTCAGAGGTCCGCGCGGATTTCTCGGATCGGCGCTGGACCCCCCTCCCTGGCGCGCGGAGCGCGTCAGGGGCGGCGCCGGAGGCGCCGCCGGGGGGCCCCAGCGCCGATCCGAGAAATCCGCGCGGACCTCCGAGTTTCTATGTTTATGTCACTTTTGTCACTTTTTGATAGCCTAATCTTGAAGCCGTCCTCGGCCGTGTCGGAGGAGTCCTCGGCGAATTCGGAGGCCTCTTAGACTCGCTCGGGCCGTCCAGGCGGCACGGACCCTGCCGGCGAGTCCTCCGGGCGGGTTCTGCCCCGGGCGCTGCCGCCGGAGCAAAGCACCACGAGCTGCTCACTACAAGGCAGTTTTCAATACATAGGATGTTTAAAACATATGGTCTTTAATACATGATTAATATATGACTAAATGTATGCATAAACTCCTCATTGTTTTGAATACTAAATCCCTGCATGTTTTATACATGATCCGCACGCGGAGCATGCATTAAAAACGGCTCTGTATATTGCAGGATAGAAGACATCGGGCTCGGCCTTCGCCTCCCGCATCCCGCTGAGCAGCGACAGAGCCTGCTGCCACTGCCCACCCTTCGCGCATGCGCTTACCCCAGTGCTGTAGCTGATTGCATCGGGCTCCAGATTCACCTCCCGCATCAAGCTGAGCAGCGCCAGAGCCCACTGCCGCTGATCGCCCTCCTCACACGCGCTGATCCCGGCGTTGTGGAACATTGGGCTCCATCTCTTGCTCACACATCGCACTGAGACCGATAGCGCCCGTTGCCATTACCCGCATGCTCTACAAGCGCTGATAACAGCAACATTCTGGTTTGGGATGAGTCCATCGCATGATCGAATCCCTTCGTGGAGAGCAATTGAAGTGCTGCCCTCCTCTGGTTTGACTTGCCGCGTTCCATTACTCAAACCTCGAAACAAGCGTTGCCTTCTAGAGATCCCCGCTGGCTGGTGAGAATCAAAAGAATGAGTGAACCACCGCGGCGTGACGCAACAATATTCCGAGCTGGAACGCCTCCACCGTGAGACAAAACTATCCTTGAGCCAAAGGATAGTGCAACAAGAGTCCCCCGTTTGCACATGAATCGTCATCAGTACGTGCAATTGCCGTACAGCCTCAACTCCTGACAAGACATGTCATTTGAGGCAGGCTCGAGCGAGAACATATCGTTTACAGGAGCCGCCCTCCATCGGCGCACCTGTTACGAAGCGCTGGATGCCTGGCCTTACAGCTTGAGGAAATCATACAGGAAAACATGGTGAAGATGACCCGCGCTCAGCACCCACACTGCAGCAGAGGCGGGTCGAGGAGTGGGAGAAGCACGACCAGGCAGCCCTGAGAGAAAGAACAGACGCAGACTGGACAGGGGTGAGAGCACGGCACTGTGCACGTGAACGCCTTGTTCTGAGAGTGCTTCCAGAACGAATTGAACAGTGTTTTCCGTCTTCGTTTTGTTTTCGTCATCCCTAGTTCTGTCTTCGTTCCACATCTGCTGCAAAACGAGGTCAGAACGAAAACGGCCCACGAGATCGCCAAAACACCGTTTGGCTCGAGCCCTGAGTGGTCCTGGCCGTCCAGACCAAAAAGTGTGGCCGGCATAGAGGGCGAGGGAACGATTCATGGATCAAAAGTCGGGCGCGACCAAGAGGGGGGTGTCCAAGAGGGGGGGGTGCAAATCATGACCGGCGGCATGTGCGCGGCCCAGCAGGGGGGCCAGGGACGTAATGAAATAAGAAGAGGCGCCATGAAATCTGTGAACATATCATGGCCCGCGCCATGAAATCCCTCCCCCCCCAATGATCACCCCCTTCTGTTCCGCTCCCGAATAGAGGGCGAGGGAACGATTCATGGACCAAAAGGGGAAGAGAACTCCAGCGGAAGGGGCTGCCGGGCTCGGGCTCTCCGTCCCCCTTGTGTGGGACGCTTGTGCGGTCCTCCTCGCAGGAGAAGAAAATTACCAGCCTGGAACAGATCCCTATCCCTATGCTGGGCACCTCCTTATCACGATGCCAATCTTAGGGATTCCCTTATTTTTTGAGGGCGAATCCCTAAGATTGTCATCGCCTTTTGGCGTGTCAATCTTAGGGATAGGGATACGCTCGAGGCTGGTAAGAAAAAGCGGCACGGGAAAATGACCACAGCCACTGCTTCGTGTTTGCGCCGCCTGCCAGCCGGCCGAAGCAGCGGTTGTGGTCATTTCCCTGGTGCCAAGCTCAGCGAAAATGACCACAGCCACTGCTTTGTTGTTGCGGGCTGGAAGGCGGCATCAAAAGAAAAGCAGTGGCTGTGGTCGTTCTCACGCCCCGTAGAAAGACGCCATCAACAGAAACGTGTGGCGCTCCGCGCGGACTTCTTGGATCCGCGCTGGACCCTCCCTCCCTGGCGCGCGGAGCGCCAGGGGCGGCGCCCGAGGCGCCGCCAGGGGGGGGGGGGGGGGCACAGCGTGGATCCCAAAAAAAAACCGCGCGGGGCGCCTCAAGTGTATGTGTCTGGCGTTTTTCCTTCCTCGACGTCTGTGGTCCTCTTCTGCCCCTGTGAGAGCCCTCCCGCGACACGCCAGACGAGGGGGCGAGGGCACGGCCGTGCGCACCTGGGTCCCCAGCGCAGGCTTTATGCCACCAAGGGTCGTGGCCGTCTAGAACACACACAGATGTGGCCATCATTGAAGGGGCCCCAGGACACACAAATAAATACACACAAATAAAAAGGTTCCCCATATTTTCCCACATGTTCTGGGTTTTGTCTTCCCCCCCACTTCCCATATTTTCCCATATTGTCTGGGGGATCGCCGATTAATTGTGTCTGTGTGGTTCTTTCCCTCCTGAATCATGTTCTGAGGCGAGAGCACAACTTCTGCGAGGAGGCCTCGGGCAAAACGGCGGTCTGACCGGGCGTCATCGAGCTCCCCGTTCCCCCCCATGTGGGATAGATTCGGAGGCCTGGACATGGACACCAACCCCATAACAGGGGGCTACCTCCACGGGGGGGAGATGATCCCAGATTTCGGGGTTGGTGGTAACGTTTCGGTCGCCTTGGAAACAAGAATATTACCACCGTCACCGAGATCGGGATATTCTTCCCTCGGTGGATGCGCACCGCCGATATTGGTGTTGGGTCACGACCTCTAGGCCTGCGAACATTCTCGCATCTCCATGTAAATTTCTAGCGAAACGCCAGTAGGGGATAAACTCTTGGAACATGCCAGACGGATCCGACCGCCCGTCTCTTGCCTCGCCTCCTGGCCCAAAGCGCTGCCTCCTGCAGCCAACTGCGCCACTGCCGCTTTCTGGGAGGCGCAGCTTGTGGGCGACATGACTTGGTGAGCTGCTGCGAGGCTCCGCGCAGCGCGGCCCCGCGGACCGCACGGACCAGCCTACGCAGAAGGCCTCTGCACACCACCACCGTGCCAGGCTGGGGCCATCCTGGCCCTTGCGTGGTGTATACGCCGTCCTGGCCGAGGCCAGGAGAGTCCATTGGAGGCCTGGAAATTGGCACCAACACCAACACAGGGGTTTGCCTCCACAGGGGGAAGATGATCCTAGATTTCGGTGTTGGTGGTAATATTTCGGCCACCTTGGAAGCCAAAATATTACCACCATCACCGAGACCGGAATCCTCATCCCTCGGTGGAGGCACGCCGCCGATATTGGTGTTGGTGTCAATCTCGAGGCCTACGAGTCCATGCACCACCCTGGGTCCCAGGATGGCCCTGGCCTGGCACGGTGGTGGCGCACAGATGCCTCCGTCGGACACCTGCCGCCACCGCCGAGCGCTCCCGGGAGGCCCCGCGGACCCACGGGGCACGGCCCTCCCTCGCGGGGCCGCCCCGCCCCGCCGGACCAAGACCCCTCCGCCTCCCTGGGCCCCCCACGGCGCAGCCCTCGCCGCCTCCGTGAGCTCCCGGGGAGATCCCGCGCAGGCGGCGTCCCGAGTGAGCGGGCCCCAGCGGGCCGCCGCCCGACCCTGAGAGCTGCCAGCCGCGCAGCAGTCGCCGCTTCCGTGAGCTCCTGGGAGGTCCCGCGGGGCGACGTCCTGCGCGGACCGAAGCTGGAACTCCCCATCCCTTGACGCTGCCGAGCGTGCCACTGCGGGAACAGCAAGCGACCACAACCACACCGAGGACACCTCGTTGGGGATGGCTCGTGCGAGCCAACGAGCGTCAGAACACCGGAACCAGCTGAGTACTGGTTGTGATCGATCTGACGTCCCGGGACAGCCAAATCGAGCACAGCCACAACCACCGAGGGACCCTCCAGAAAAATCCATGTTGTTGCGGTTGTGGTTACTTGTTGCGCCCGGAACAACTGTCGCGCCACTGTCGTCAGCTCCTCAGAAGTCCCGCGGATAGCGGTTGAGCAGGCGAAAACCCACCCCCACCCCCAGTCCCGACGCCCACCCCCGAGCCCGCGATCTAGGGGGTCGGGACTGGGGGTGGGGGGGGGGGTTCTCTATTCCTGGACCCCGAAAACCCACCCCCACCCCCAGTCCCGAACCCCCGGATCGAGGCTTCGGAAATGGGGTCGGGACTGGGGGTGGGGGGGGGGGTTTCGCCGTCTCAGCGGTCTCCGACGGACCCGAGCGGGAATCCCCTGGGTCGACGGACGCCAGCGCAGGGCCGCGCGCGCGGGGGCGAGGAGACGTGGCCCTCGCCCACGCGCCGCGCAGACTTCGCCTGCAGGTGGCGCTCCCGCCCCGGAGCGGCGAGCACGCCGTCCTCACCGCTCGTGTCGGAAAACGCACAAGACCGGTCAGCATCGGATCGGGACATCGGATCGGACAGGATCGGAACCGGAAATCGGAAATCGGATCGGAGCCGAAATCGGATCGGATCGGCTGCGTCAGATTGCAGAGCAGCGCCATGCGAGCAGCAGGCGGCATGGTGTCGCCCGAAGATCGGAATCGAATCGGATCGGAAGCCCCAGAATGACATCGAATCGGATCGATCGGATCGAAGTGGACACGTCGCTGTGGTCGACAGCACCGAGTGGTGGTCTCGCCGAATGCTCCGCGCAGGACTCTCAAAGAACTACGCTCCCGCCGACTCTGCGGCAGGCAGTGGGGTCGACCTCCGGCGCCTCCCGCGCGCCAAGGTGGAAGGGCCGCATGAACCTCGACGTCCAGCTGCTGGGGGGGAGAAGTGGGCGGGGTCGGCCGACTCGTTCGACCTGGCCCGCTGGACTCCTCCTCCTCCTCCTCCTCCGCCTCCACCGCGCCCTCCCCCTCCTGACTCACAGATCGGCCCCCGCACCTCTCACCTCCGAGCTCCGTCCTCTGCCCCTCCGTCCTCCGAGCCGTGGACGTCCCTTCTCCGTCCTCCGTCCGCCTCCCTCCTCCTCCTCCTCCTCTCCACCAAGTCTCCCTCCCCCCTGCCAACAGGCCTGACACGATCTGGCGGTTGTCCCCCGAGAATGCGACGCTGTTCACGTCCTTTGCGTGGCCCTGCGCGCGCACGGGGCGCGGCAGGAACGGAACATTCTCCTCTTCCTCCTCCGCCTACTGCTCCTCCAGCTTTGCGTACTCCTCCTCATCATCCTCCAACTCATCTTCATGGTTGTCCCTCCTCCTCCTCCTCCTCCTCCTCCTCCTCCTCCTGCTCGTCCTCCTCCGCCTCCACCTTCTCCTCCTCCTCATCACCATCACCATCACCAACACCAACACCATCACCATCATGATCATCATCATCATCATCATCATCATCATCATCATCATCAACAACATCATCATCACCATCCTCATCCTCATCCTCATCCTCATCCTCATCACCACCACCACCATCATTATCATCAGCAGCAGCATCATCATCAGCATCATCGTCGCCAGCGGCTCACCAGCAGCGGCAGCAGCATCAGCATCGCCATCATCATCATCATCATCAGCATCATCAGCAGCAGAAGCGTAATCATCATCAGCGTCATCGTCATCCTCATCAGCAGCATCATCGTCATCGTCATCGTCATCGTCATCAGCATCAGCATCAACATCATCAGCAGCAGCAGCAGCAGCCGCAGCAGCATCATTATCGTCATCATCATCATCATCAGCAGCAGCATCATCACCACCACCACCAACCTCACCATCACCATCATCATCCGAAGCAGCATCAGCAGCAGTAGCACAACCACTACCACCAAAACCAACATCAGCATCATCGTCATCAGTTGCATCGTCATCCTCATCATGATTACCATCATCAGCATCATCATCATCATCATCAGCAGCAGCAGCATCCTACTCATCATCATCATCATCATCATCATCATCATCATCAGCAGCAGCAGCAGCAGCAGCAGCATCAACACCAGCATCATCATCAGCATCGACAGCATTAGCATCGTTATTATAATCATCGACATCATCATCAGCAACATCAGCATCAGCATCAGCATCATCCGCATCATCATCAGCAGCATCATCACAATCACCATCACCAGCAGTATCATCACCAGCATCATCAGCAACAGCAGCAGCCGCAGCAGCGCAATCATCATCATCATCATCAGCATCAGCATCAGCATCATCAGCATCATCATCAGCATCCAGCATCATCATCATCGGTATCAGTATCGTCGTCGTCTTTGTCATCATCGACATCATCTTCATCAGCATCATCATCGACATTGGTACCGTCATCGTCATCGTCATGATTCTCGTCATCATCAGCGTCAGCAGCATCAGCATCATCGACACTGTACGCATAATCATGGGTATGGGCGTAATCCGCATCATCCTCGTCGTCACATCAGCATAATCATTCTCGTCATCATCAGCATCATCTGCATCAGCAGCAGCATCGGCATCGACAGCATTAACAACAATGATATCGTCATCAGCATCAACACCATCATCGATCTCATCAGCATCGCCATCACAATAGCCATCACAAGCATCGTCGCCATCATCATCATCGTCGTCATCACCATCATCAGCAGCAGCATTATCAGCAATGGCATTGTCGTCATCCAATTTGTCCTCACCATCAACACAACCAGTATAATCATCGTACGCCGCAGCAGCATCATCAGCATCATCAGCAGCATCATCATCAGCGTCAGGAACAGAATTATAAACATCAACATCCTCAACACCGCCATCATCATCGTCGCCACCATCACCGTCACCACCACCACCATCATCATCACCACCACTACCACCGCCACCACCACCTCCACCACCACTATCATCATCATCAATATCATCATCAGCAGCAGCATCATCAGCATCATCATCATTATCTTCTTCATCCTCATCCTCATCGTCGTCATCGTCATCGTCAACGTCATCGTCGTCGTCATCATCATCCCACTCCTCCTCCCCCTCCCCCTTGTTCCTCGGGGAGGGACAGAGGGACACGGGCGAAGGAAGAGGCAGAGGGGGGAGAGGGAGACAGGGAGGGCGAAGGGGACGCAGAGGGTGAAGGGGGCAGAGACAACCTATCGGGGCAAGAGGTCGGCAAAGCTCTGGCCCAAGGCAACATGAAATCGCAAATCTGTTCCATCAAGAACTGATTGATCACCGAGGACCTACCACCAGGCAGTGCAGCTTGCAAACCCTTCGTGCCAGTAAAAGATAGCAGAAGAACTGATTGCAGACGTAACTCTTGCAACTAACTCGAGCGAGAACCTTTGATCATAGCGCTCATCATGAAACTGAGGCATTCATGCATCTAGCATGTATTGTCCTTTCAACGCAAACCAAATGACATGACATGCACGGGCTCTCCCCGAAACCCCCGCCCATGACCACAGAAACAGAAAGCCGACCGCCAGGATACCCAAAAGGCGCATGAGAATGCAAACATCAGCACTCACCACACGACCAACATGAAAAAAACGATTCAACATTTGTTAACACTCATGAGCCGGGAAACATTGAAGACCAAATGGACGGGAGAAGGGAGGTGTCAACCGAAGATGCGAAGATGAGCATCGTTTAACCGACCCCTATCCACACCAGCGTGACCTGGGCGCCACGGGCCGATTTAACCCCCCAGATGGGGATATAGGCTGCTTCCTTTGGGTTTCGAGGGGTATATCCCAAACTGGTGTGGTGGGATGGTCGGGATCGGGATGGGGATGGGGATAAAGATCGTTTTAAATCGGTTAAACGTTACGGAGAAGAGGAACGTATGTAACACAGAATGGATGCGCCACCTGGAAAGTGCGCGCAGTGGCGCCGGTGTTCAGGTCCCAGAGCCTCGCGGCAGAGGCCGGCAGGGGCTGCATCGACCGGCCAGGGGCTGCATCGACCGGCACGAGCGCAGCCGTCCCCAATCACACGACGTACTTTCACAAGCGTGCGTGGGGAAGTGTGAACGTCGTCGTCGTCGTAGTCGTCGTCGTCGGCGGCGGCAGCGGCAGCTGCGGCGGCGTCGGCGTCGACGTCGGCGTCGGCGTCGGCGTTGTCGTCTTCGTCGTGGTCGTCGTCGTCGGCGGCGGCGGCGTCCGATACCTCGGCGGTAGGCCCCTATCGGCGATCTAGGGGCGATTGGGGGCCGACGGTGCCCCTCCGAGCCTCATCCCCTCCTAGCGCTGCCCCCGAAGCGGGTACCCCCCCCGAACGGGGGTCAGCCTTGCCTCGTCGCATGGGGTCGGGGCGCCCTGGGCGCGCAAGATCTGTCCGCGGCGGGGGCCTTCTTTTCGGGTGTCGGCGGGGGTGGCACCGCCCCCCAGCGCTATGGGACGCAGAGTGCATGGACACCCAAAAACGGGTACGGCAAAAATTGCAAAGGCAACGGCGGCTGCCAGGTGGCAGGCGACCTTCTGCCTCAAATCGGCAACGTCCGCCGGGACACCGACAGCGAGTCCTGTTCATAATGGGCAAGATCAAGATCGGCAGGAACTGCAGTCGGACTTCGTCCCCGTCCTTTCGGTACCAATTTCGATCCAGCAGAAAGTAGGCTTTGCCTGAGGGGTTCCTGCTTCTCTGTGCAAGAGTGATGGTGGCTGTTGCTTCCCTCCCCGCCTATCCTCGAAGAAGGTGCCACGGCAGCTCCTCGGGGTTCGGAGGGAGATCCTCGGGGTTCCATTGCTCTGCATTGCATAACTCTGTCATGCTCTGCCTTTGTCTGCGATCGTAAGTGTACCGTAGAATGTCATGCTATATATTGCTATGCTAGGCGAAGCTCTGCCTATGAACTGCTACGCGATGCAATCTCATATGCTGCGGTGTGCTGTGGTGTGCCATGGTTTACTGCGCCGGATCATGATACAGTCAGCTAAGTAAGGATATCTGTGTAGGCCGAATGCTACTACGTGATGCGATAAGTTCATGCCATACTACAGCATGATATGATGGACGTATGTCAAGCAATAATGTTCGGCGTTCATGCCATGATATGCTAGGCGGCGATGTGATACTATTTGCTACGCTACGCATGTTTGAACAGACTGTGTTAGAATGCGCTGCTTCACTCTATTACATCCAATGGTGTTGGATTGCATGCGTAGACTTTCAGCAAAGGAAAGGAGTAGAGCTAAATTGGGGTCTCACCAGGTTCATAGGTTGGGACATCTGCTGCCTGAACATGCACAAGGAACTCAGGCAAAATGAGTCGAACCCTCCACAAGGAAACATCATCGTTGCTCTCCAGCAGTTCGAGCAGACGCCTCTACTACTCCCCCATGCACTCTAACAACATGTACTTTTGCGACGGTGATTGAATCAGCACGTCGAATCGACAGATCAGACAGCATGGGGGTCCAATGCAGCATCATTACTACCAATACCTGTACGACCACCCTTCGGGTGATAAGGAGGTTGTGGGGGGGGGAGAGGGGGGGGGAACCAACATCTGACTCAATCGATCTCACTATCGATCTCACTCAACGGGACACCACGGGACACCACGGCACACCACGGGACACCAGGGGACACCTCGGGACATCGGTCGATCTCACTATCGATCTCACTATCGATCTCACTCAACGGGACACCACGGGACACCACGGGACACCTGTCGACCTCACTATCGATCTCACTATCGATCTCACTTTTTGGGACATCACGGAACACCGCGGGACACCTCGGGAAACCACATCTATCTTAGTATCAATCTCACTATTGATATCACTATCGATCTCACTCAACGGGACACCACGGGACACCACGGGACACCACGGGACACCACGGGACACCACGGGACACCACGGGACACCACGGGACACCGCGAGCCACCGCGAGCCACCGCCGGACGGACGGACGGACGGGCGGCCGGGGTAGAATCTTTTGTCTTGACCTCGCCCTAACAACGGCGGACACCACGGGACACCACGGGACACCACGGGACACCGCGGGACACCGCGAGCCACCGCCGGACGGGCGGGCCGGGATAGAATCATTTGTCTTGATTTCGCCCTAGCAACGGCGGACACCACGGGACACCACGGGACACCGCGGAACACCGCGGGACACCGCGGGCCACCGCCAGACGGGCGGGAGGGGGAGAATCATTTGTCTTGACCTCGCCCCAGCAACGGCGGACACCATGGGACACCACGGGACACCACGGGACACCGCGGGACACCGAGGGCCACCGCCGGACGGACGGGAGGGGGAGAATCATTTGTCTTGACTTCGCTGTAGCAGCGGCGGGTTCTCCTCTCGCGCGCCCACGCAGCTTCGCCTCGCCCGCACGCACGACACAAACCAAACGAAACGATTTCCCCGTATGGGGGTCTCCGTTCCACTGCGATCTTACCCCCCCCAACCTCCGATCCAAACCACATTCCCAAATTAAGTTACGACCTCCTGGGGCCTGCCACGATACCTGAGCAGGTTACCCAAAAAGTCGCGCCCCGCGCTGCGCGAAGCGCGATTATCCTCGCCCTCTCGCGCGGCGCCGCGGAGAAAGGGAACCCTTCGGCCCAGAACGCGGCGCCAGGTTGCGCGCCATGGACGAGCAGGCGCGGCAGCTCCTGCACCGGCAGCGGCACTGGGACCGAACGCGGGGCCGAGCTGCATGGGGACGAGGCGGAGGTGGGCAGTGAAAGAAAACAAGAACGGTATAACAGAAGTCCGAGAGAAAACAAGAAAACAAAAACGGTATAACATAAGTCCGAGAGGGAACAAGAAAACAAGAACGGTATAACAGAAGTCCGAGAGAAGAGCATGGACGTCGGGCGGCTGTCTGGGAGAAAACCAGAACGGCATAACAGAGGTCCGCGCGGAGTCCTGGGTCGGCAAGGGGGCGCGCAGGGGGCCCGGCGCAGCTCCAAGGAGTCCGCGGGAACTCCGAGAGTGCACGCACGCTCGGGAGCGAGTCCGAAGACAATCTGCATGAGCAGGAGGAGGTCCAGCAGGCGCTGGCCAAGAGTGGCGAGAGATCGCTCCGGAACAGGTCTGGGCCAGAGGCTGGTTCGCAGGGGGTTCTGGCCCTCGCAGCAAGCCGCGCCGCGAGTCGAGGACCTTCCGCGCATCCTGCTCGACAGCGCGAGCGCCAAGAGTAAAAGGAAAAAACGGCACAGGCAGAAACTGTCCAAGGTCCGCGCGGATTACTTGGATCGGCGCTGGGACACCCCCGCCTTGGCGCGTGGAGCGCGCCAGTGGCGGCGCCCGAGGACGTTGGGCTTTCGGCCGCCGCGCCAAGCCGCGCCGCGCACCTTGGCCCCGCGAACTGTTGAGGAGGAGGGGGAGGAGGAGGAGGAGGAGGAGGAGGAGGAGGAGGAGGAGGAGGAGGGAGAGGAGGAGGGGGAGGAGGAGGCGGAGGAGGAGGAGGAGGGAGAGGAGGAGGAGGAGGAGGAGGAGGAGGGGAGGGGGAGGAGGAGGAGGAGGAGGAGGAGGAGGAGGAGGAGGAGGAGGAGTGTTTTCACCGCGCATCTATATTCCATCCCAGGTCCGCAATCCATGATCCGCGGCAACAACGCAGCAGCAGGCCATGCCTGCCAACGTCGAAATCCGCGCAGGAGGGGGGAGCAGCGGCAGCAGAGGAGCAGCGAAGGAGGAGAGAAAGGACAGGGCACTTGACGCCCGCGCACAACGGGTGGCCGATCTTCGTCCACCCGTGGGAGGTACCGTGGTACCTCGCGCGCGGGGCGGGGCGGGGCAGCACCGCCCGCTACCGATCCTCCCGAGCGAGAGTCCTCGGCAGCGGGGGGGCGCACTCGGCGACGAGGGAGGACAGAGTCCATGCCCCACAAGCCTCGGGCGCTTGCAACCCAGGCCACCGCCACCACGGCACGAAAAACGCCTAGACAAAATCGAGAGGCAGGCACCCTACCTCCCAGAGAGGCGCAAACGGGCACAGTTGAACAGGTCGTCGACGGGGCGGGCGGCGGGGGCGGCAGGGAGCGGCGGGGCGGGTGCACGCGCGCCCCCGCGCGCGCCCCCCCAGCCAGGCGGGGGCCCAACCCCAGCAGCAACAGCACACGCACGGCGGAGCAAGCAGCAGGAGGACCGAGGGGGCGGGCCAGAAGAAAGGCAGGGGAAAGAGGGGAAGGCAGGGGCGGGAAAAACCGAAGACCCAACAACGCCCACCCCGCAGGGAAGGGGCAGCGGCAGCGGCAGGGGAGACGGAAGACAGCAAACGACAGGAGAGGCAAGGGAACACAAAGAGGAGCACTAGAGCACACGAGCGAGGGATGAAAGGGAGCGGTCACACTCAGACGACATCACTTCACGCGGCAGCCCGTCCAATACGCCGTGCCCTGAACTGTCTTGAAACACCAGTATACCGACGAGCCAGAAGACGCAATCGGGCAACGAAGACCTGGGACGAGGGGACCTGAGTCAGGCGCCGATGATGGGCGTGTGTCTTCAGAAATGCATCGATGAAGGCAGCACAGGCAACGTCGCGGTCGAGCCCCCAGGAAGGTCCCATCAGACAAAGACAGGTAAGCCAGGTATCTCGGTGCTGCCACATCTCCCTCCACGGCGTGGGTAATGCTTCCAACCCAGGGAGACGGTGCAGTGCCAGGTCACGGAATCGATCACAGATTTTGTAGTGGTGAAGGTCATCAGGGGCCACACACCCAAAGCAGCACCCACGGTCATTCGCATGAAAACGCGCCGAAGTGCAAACGCCCCTGGACAGAACACGGAGAACGTTGGTAGCAAGATGCGTGCACGTGGCACGCTCCACAGCGCGCAATCTAGTCCGCAGACGGAGCATATCCTCGAGAGATGCTGCAACTAACCACCCCGATACCCGCACACCCAGACACAATAATGGAGTGGCAGTCATACGAACCGACCGTACGTGCCGATGGACCTTGGCCTGGATAAGACGGGAAGTTCGATCAATGGGGGAGTTCACGAGGCCCGCCGCGTCCTCGTTCGCCGTGCGTACCACCAAATGGCACCACCATCCAGAAAACATACGTGCAGGAATACATTCATCATCCGCCAAGCCACTAGCTAAGCCATCAAACTCATAAAGCGCATCATCTAAAGCCTTGCACCGCATCACCACCCGAAATTTCGTAGCTTTACCATGCAGTCCCAGGTCCACGAATTCAAATGAGATCCCCAGGTCACGTAACTGGGTGAGCATAGTGTAGTTCAATGCGTGCCGAGGCCCCGCTGTAAGTATCTGCAAGGCTTCCCTATACTGACGCCGAACCCCTGGGGTGACCCCCGCCAACTGAATCCGATACTGCAAGACGGAGAGGCAATGAGTGGAACAGGCGGATGGCGGTCGCCAAGCCCAACGAGAGAGAGCGAAGAAGACGAACTCGCTGCCAGAACTTATTCATCGTCTCCACCCAGGCCACCTCACGGGCCGATGGGCCCACCCAGAATCCGAGGTACAAAACCCTGGTGGCGAAACGGACTGAGGCGAAACGGCTGCCTTTCCGAGTCATGTGGGCAGCGAGGGCATCTCCATTCAGCGCCCCGCAGGCATTTCCCCACATTCAACGAGAGACCAATCGCGGAAGAGAGCAAGTCGAGAAGCAGCAAGGTGGGCATGAGATCGATGAGAATGTCACGTAATCCAAAGCAGCAGTCATCAGCGCACGCCAATTGGACACCCACATGTTCGACACGGCGGGCACGGATCCAGCGCAGCACGGGGTCCAGAGCCAAAGCAAAGAGGGCCATTGACGCAGGATCCCCCTGCCGCACACCTCGTTCCACAGGGAAAACCGTTTCGGCAGCGCCCTCAAAGCAGACCAGGGCCGCATCGTTGGCGCACAGGGCTTCGAAGAAACCCACGGTCTCGCTGGGAACCCCCATGGCCACCAAAACGGCAAAAATCCACTCGGCCAGGATCGAAGGGAACGCCGCCTTGAAATCGGCGAACAATACCCCCGCTTTTTGGATAAGGCCCCATTTTTCAACTTCAACGACATTGTCTAGAATGTTACGCCCTCGAACCCACCACGCTGGGAGACATCCACAGTCACAGGAGCGACGCCATTGAGTCCCAAACAGAAGGCATCGGAGAGCATCTTCGCATCCGCATTCGCGAGGGAGAGCGGGCGGGTGGAGGCAGGTGCACGAGAGACAAAGTCGCTGCGATCACAGGGGCCGCTGCCCTTCGGGAGGAACACCATACGACTAACCCGACATTCAGGAGGGAGAGCACCTCCTGCGCTGTTGGAAACCTCCTCGTAAACCTGGAACAAAGCATCGGTCGCCTCAGGGACCTTCCAACGACCATGCGGGATCCCACCAGGGCCAAAAACAGAATGAAATTCATGGCCGACACGGCCCCGAAATTCATCCGCGTCCAGTTTCCACCGTGGGGCAGGAATACAGTCGCCGATAGTCTGAACGTGGGTCAGCATTTCTTCCCAACGAGTCGGGTCGTAATCCGCCTGGGCAAAGACCTTACTCCAATGGGCTACCAGTGCCGCAGAAGCCGCTTCTGGGGAGGCACACGGGGCCCCTCTCTCGTCCAATACGCCTAGCAGCCCAGACCTCCTCCTCATGAGGTCCCACCCACGCCTAAGAGCCACCAGCCTCCGTCTCTTCTTGGTCCTGACCTCCTCCACCTGGTTACCATGATCCAACTCCTCCAACTCCGCACCAAACCAACGCCCCTTCAGTGTTAGTACCGAACTGTGGAGGCCATCAGGATCAGCGCACACACCGCCGTCGACACCGAAGAAAGGCAGGAGAGAAGCGCAGCAGCGAATGGCACGAAGACAGAGGTACCACTGCCGCCCCCTCCATCCACGGTATGCCATGAACGCAAAGTGGAGCCTTTCCGCATCGTTGCCCGCTGGTCGACACTTAAGGGCCTTCTTAAATTCCACAGCAGCAGTACCAAAAACCTCTTTCACCCTCGCGAGTTTCTGCGCAGGGTCCGATGGGAGCGTCACCTCCCGAAGCTGTTCGGAAACCATTCTGTGGTAGTCGGCACGCTGGCTGATCCATTTCGGAACCGAGAAACGACCCTTCGGGGCCGGGAGGGAAACAGCGGCAGCGACGGGGATGCGACCGGAGGAGGCCCCTGGATGCATGAGGGCGCCGACAGCGTTGACAACCACGGTCATCTTATTGAGGATACCTGCAGGAAGGGTCGTGTAAATCCGATCTAATCTGGCCAGCCCCCTCAGTTCCCGATTGACAATATCCCTTCGGGTCGGGTCTGGTTGGTATAATTCACACCAGTGGCTACAATGTTCCTGAAAAGCATCACATTGCAAACGGTCCCCAGGCCCAATCTCCCCTGAGACAAGAGACCTACCATCCTCCATCGTACAGAAGTTCCAGTCTCCCAGAATGATAACCATGGTATGCGCTGCCGCAGGAAGGGCGGCATTGACGAGGCGTGAGTACGGATGATAGATACGAACGTCATCGCACGTGTTAGGCATATGTACATTGACCACTACCAAATCGCCTCAGGGCCCCCGACCATGGACGAGTAACACCCGCCCAGGAACGACCGTAGTCGGGGCGATCGGGTCGAAGCATTCACAGAGTTCCGAAGACAGGAAGGTCCCCCCCCCCCCAAAGCGTTCCGATCCTCTAGAAAGCTCCCAAAAATTTGCCCAGTCCGCATTTCGTCCCGAAGGATAACCAAGTCTGCTTCAGATCCGTGCGTTTCCTGTAAACACATGACCTGATACTGTGAGAGCAGCTGCTTAGCCCGAAGGAAGCGCGAACGTGACCGAGATGAACGAGACGAAAGAGAGGCGAAGAGCGCGCGCGCGCTCCAACTGCAGAGAGACAGAGGACGGGCAGGACGGTAGACACCACCAGCTTCCCCAGCAGGCGGCGAGAAGGATAAAGCACTGTCACTTGCGTGGTGTACATCAAACTGGGCGGAGAGGGCGGACGAGCACTCAGTAGCAGAACCCACTGGACTTCTCCCCACCGCGCACTCACCTGTCGAACTGTTCCGATACTCACCGAAGGGGGCGGATCTCTGCGAACCTGGCGTGCAGACACTGTGCATGCTGCTGCCCTCCCACTTCCGTCAACCCCTCGATCTCGACGCCACACTGCACGGTACCCGCGGTGGGGCCATCATCAACAATAGAAATCTTAACCACTTGCACAGGGACTCCGTTGTCCTTCATCACATACACTGCACCTCCTAGCCCCGTCGACCCAACTTTGCCCGCCCCGAAGATTCTGGCGACATGCTGTTGCATATTCCCGAGATAGCAGAACAGCTTCCTGGAAGAGGGGGGAAGATCACGTCGGACCCGTAGCTGTAAGTCGGGACCGCCCTCAGGGTTCGGGAAGGGGAACGTGCCCACGGACGATGCCATTCC